AATCCTAATGAAAAGGATGTGCAGAGGCTAACTAGAATTTTTTTTTTTGTTTAAGATTCATCGAGGAATTCTGGACCAAAGAAGCTCATACATCTTTGATCTTTCCGTGGGAAATAGTTCCTTTCTAAAAATAATCAACTTAGAGGGTTAAACCCAAATTTTTAACTGAGCAAGTACGCATCAAAGGGCGTTGAATCTGAATGAAGATGGCCCTGAGTCCAGAGATATTAAAATCAGACACGAATTGACCATGATTAAAGAAAGCCTAAACTTTCGTCGGCGATTTATTTATAAATGTTTCTTTGCCCTTTTTTCGCCATCATTCTCAAAACAGGGATTTGCTATAATTATATATGGTAGAAAATTAAGATGACTGTGAAAATAAAAGGGGAGGATATTTACATTATCTGCAACTATAGGGAATGCCTTCCTCCTCCTACAGCTTTTAGGCAGCTACAAACATCTTCCGCTCAAGTACGCTGCAATTCACCAATTAGAACGATATCAGAATATTTCTACGAAATAATAACGGAATTCATTTCATCAATGATTACACTTAAGAGCGAACAAACAAGGATTCAGAACAGGACGGAATGAGTAATAAGGAATTAAAGAAAAGAACGAAAATGTTGTCCCAATTCATCACATTGAAATCCAAAACAATAACGGGAATTCCTACGGGAAAATTCCCAAAAAACACCCGAACTTAGTTGCATTTGCTGAAAAAATACCCTAACTTTTTTAGCTACCCGATAAATACACCAACTATTTAAGATTGTTCTTTATATACTCGAACTTTTAAAATGAGTTGGTTTTGGATTTCAGTTGTATATGCTTCATGCGACCATAAACGCGACCAAGCTTGGAATCTATGGACTTTGCCTTTTATGAAACTAAAGGAGAATATATTCCTGCAAACTTTTTTGATTGTTATCATCTCACTTTCGGCAGTATCTATTCAAGAAATTTAAATATCATTTCACAAACAAAAACTTAAGGGAATTTAAATTGAAATCCAAAATCAATTTGGGGTTTTAGGGTTCTTAAATCCCAAAATCGATTTGAGGAAGAAGAATGTACTGTAGCAAACAGTAACTTCCATTAGTCAGATTGGCACCGTTAATGTCGAGGTAGTAAAACCAACCCATTTTATAAATTCGAGTATATAAAAAACAATCTTAAATAGTTGGTGTATTTATCGGGTAGCCAAAAAAGTTTGGGTATTTTTTCAGCAAATGTAACTAAGTTCGGGTGTTTTTTGGGAATTTTCCCGAATTCCTACAACTATAGTTTTGTCCCAAATTTCATATAAAACTGGGAACTAGACAGAAAATGGTACAGGATAAGAAAACAATTTAGTTTTAGAGCTTTTAAAGTGTTATATATTACAAAAAAAAAAAGATATATTATCATCGATTTTTTAAATCTCAAACGGAAAATCGGGAATTCATGTCCTCTTTCCGTCCCATTCTCACTCGGGATTTAAATCCTAGTCAGGAGTATATTTCTATATATATAGGAATTGGAAACAGGATTCGAATTTTCCCCACCACTACTTACACTAGACGCACAAGATCACTTTATATTGTTCTAAACCCGGAAATAATAAACTAACAGAAAACGAAAAGTAGTATGGTAATTTATTGTTTACCTCCTGTTTGGAGATTGTTTGGTGGTCTGCATGCTCAGGAAGAACAGATGGTGGATGGACCAATGACATTGGGGTTAAAGGAGGCGACGCACTGCCCAATTTTTGAGTACCCAGGCTAGTCTTTGACATATCTAATTCTGCAGCTCTAAGGTTGCTAGTAGGTATTGAGAAGCTACGAGTGATTGCAGGTGGTATCGGTAAAGGAGACGCTGAATTTGATATCAGAGGTTTACTAAGCAATTGGCTCTTTGAAACCAAAGGAGCTGAATATCCAAATGCTCTGGAGGACTGAATAGAGCTACTTGGTGGTGGTCTAGGAAGCTCATGGAGCTCGCTTATTTTTGGGGTTGATACAAAAGTAGGAGAAGCTGTTGGAGACGATGACACTTTTGGTAACTTGGAAACTGGATTCCTTGAGATTGGACCCGAGTATAAGCGAGGTGTTGAAGAGAGAGGCTTGTTAGGTAATGGTTTACTTGTTAGTGGACCAGAAAAGGATCGCCTCTTGAGTGTCCCCAGACGTGAGTACAAGAGTCCATCTGCTAAAGGCGGAGGCAACCGAGAAGACGTATTCTTGTTACTCTCTCTCAGGACTTGTCCTTTCAAGGCTACAATTGATCTAGAAGAAACCTTTGCCGGTCCGGGAGTTTCCAGTGGGGATGAGTACCAAATCTTTCTGGTAATTGCCTTTGCAGGATGAGAGGAAGCTATGTTTTTGTTACCCGGACTTGTAATCGATGTGGGACTTCTTGTTGTTCCCACAGGTGTTGGCAATACATAAGTGTTAAATTTCCGTGTCAAAGATGATCGCATCCGTAACAGTTTCTCTGAAGTCGGAGTTGTGTGGTTCTCAGGAAAAAGTGGTGCTGATTGGCTCCCTGGTCTAAAATCTCTCCTAAACGAATGAGATTTCCTATAGTTTCCTTCCTCATTTTCCTGCTTAAAAAAATATTAGATATGACCGGTAAGAAGGTTGTGCAAATTGAAACAATTGGGTGGTTTCCAGGTAAAGATACATGAAATGAATTCTTTGAACTATGAGCATCCTGATGATTTTTCTGAGTCATTTGAAAGGAAAAGCTTAGAAGATGGAATCAAAAGTACATCACGGCTATGTTACCTGTGCAATATCTGGTAGTGGCACCAGTGGAAATGTGATGTCAGACTGACCAAACTGCACGCATTAGGTAAAGATTTGTAAGGAAATGGATTTAAAAAATAAAACAGCGCCACATTGAAATTACTCCAGACTGATAATCTAACCAATTTCAACCGAATCTACATTAAATGCCTATTCATCATCCTCATACCCTACCAGGAAGTGGTTCAAAACAGAAAAAAGGCCATGCAGAGATATGACCTTATTGATAAAGGATATAGAAAATGCTTCCCTTGATAAGCATGTCCAGTTTATCAACCTCATTTATAATTCCCATGTTACATTCACCTTTAGGGAAAACATTGGCACATGGAAAAGGATAAACAGGAATATCATCACAACCGTAAACGTATGAAATCATCACCTGTGAGGAGCTATCAGTTGAAGAATCCGCATCTTGGTCCTTTTCATTCACTCTATATTCAAAACTCAATTCTCCATCATCATGCACCTCAGAACTATCTTCTTCATTGTTTTCTATTTCCTCATCGTCATCTTCTAATCCACTAAAATGATAATCAATATGCTGCGACTCGGTTACCATCTGTACATGTGGCTCGACTTCTTCAAGGGAATTAAGAGCCTTCTTGAAGAAGCATAACTACAGAAACACAAAAAAAAATGACATCAAAGAGGTGCCTGGTGATTGAAACAGTAGGACGAGAAACTGCCCAAGATAAAAAACCTGTGCTGCATGGTGCCTTGCCGCCTGAGTCAGAAGACTTCGTGTTTGGCCTTGTTTCAGGGATTTTAGACGAAAAACAAATAAAGTTGTCTCATTATCATATTCCTCTTGAGCTTCTTGTAATTGCTGCGTCGAAAAAGTTTCTCCTTTCCCACCCTTCGACTTCCCTTTCTCTCTCTGTCTTGTACGCATGCCTTCATAAATATTCCTGAAAGGTAAAAAGCTCCATGAACAGAATACCTTTTGCCCACTAAAATGAGAGGAAAGTTTGATGAACTTGGAAAAAGAGGAGATAATTTAATAACTAAGGAATGTTATACCCATCACTAAACGAATCAGATTTCTGAATCATTCCCCAACGAAACTAACATATTAACATTAACTTTTCCTCAATTATGATAAGATGCGTGTCATATTTATTTCTCATCTCACTAACAAGTGTTAAGAAATGAAAAATAAGACAAAGCAAGAACAACCTTTTCTCATCACAAAGCCGCATCATTTCCTGCATCACCATTAAAAGACATTACTATCGTCAGTTGAAAGGATTGAATCGGCAAGCATATCAAATAACACTTGAAACCTTCATCTGGAAACATGGAAGTTCATATATACGCAGCAAGCATGGGCCATTCTAACCGTGGACGAAAGTAAAAAAAGATATAGATTCCACATGTACAAACCTCAACTATGCGGAGTTCATTAAGAAGTGATTCGGAGGGGATTGTGATTGTTTGGAATATATGAGACCTCTGAATCAACAATATTGATTTTTTGGTGGTTAGACAAAGGAAATCTCAGTTGAAAATATTGAAGAAGTTTGTACCAGAATTCAAAAACTCACATATTTATCAACAAGTTTTTGTATTTCAAACTGTAATTTTCCCAGCATAAGTAACACTCTACCTGCATAAGAATAAGAGAAGCATTATGTTTCTTTTTCAGATGCACATTATATAAGTAGGTCGAAATAATAAATATATGCTATTTGCAGAAAACTTGAAAAAAGGATAAATGAATATACGGCCAGTTTCATATGTTTTAATATTATCGATAGAGATAGATATATTTAAGGAATCTGCTCGTCAAACTCACCACTTTCTTCGTCATCATTTAGAGCAGTTTTCTCAAGAAGACAAGCACCTAGTTCTCGCAAAGATTCAGAAAATTCTGCAAGCAAACGAAATCTGCAAATGAGAAGAATATATATTTATTAACAGGAAGATGCTTATCTCCATAAATTGGGATGCCATGACAAATAATATTCAAGCTACATTTGAGGTCAATATACAGTTCAAATACAGACCTACACATTTAACCAGACGGAAAGAGAAGGCAACAGCGCAATTATTAGAGCCAAATTTAAGAGCTTCAATCAAATTTGACATAAAAAAACATTATCCACAAGAGCGATCTGTTCTGAATATCCACTAGAGCTTACTTTTATCTGACCAAAGCAAAAGGAACAATAGATTACCATATGCACTATTCGCAGTGGCAGCCGCAGCAGAGAGCAAGCTATCATAGCAATCTCTCATGTCTTGCACGTCCTGCAAAAGATCACACACAAGCTCAACATTGTGAGACACCAGTTATATCAACATTTCAATAATCTAATGCCTGAAACAGAGAGCCCCAAAACCTAAGCAGCTGAGGTTAAAACAGAGAAGCTCCAGATCCAAAAATCAATTAAACACAAATAGTTTTCGTGAATCCAACATCTGAATCATCACCGTTTCCTAAATTCGTTGCAACTAAGCTTGAATTTGTAACTAAATCACGTATATAATCGAGAACAACCTCATCATCAAACAGCTAAGAACGAGAAAATGTAAGTCCAAATTCGAATTGGAAATAGAGAGATAGAGAAATTGGCACCTGCGAAGCCTGGGCTAGCTCGTCATTCTGAACCAGAGCTCGAAGATCTCTTCGGTCTTTAGAATCGTGCTTGTGAAGCGCACCTCGCAACCGTCGGAGAGAGGTTTTCATGGCCGGAAACGGTCTTTTTCCGGCGAATCAAGAAAAAATACAAGGAGATTGAAAACGGTCAAGTAGACGATCGATTCGTCTTCTTCTTCTTCAACTAGGCCATTCGAAGAACGTACCATATAAAAACTTAATAATGGCAGGAAAAATCAAACGAGGGGAAAAAATAAAGCGTTTGTTTAGAGGAAAAGGATAACTTTGATCCTTGACTTCGTCGTCTCTTTTGATTCTTTTTCGTTCTCTATC